ATTCATTTTTTTCAAAGGCGTTAAAATGTGGTTTTTCTTCCACTAAAGACGTAAACGAACTGTTTCAGAACGCATTCCTTACGATACGTTTTACTGTTATCAAAGGCACTTTTATCTGCAAGCTTTCCTATTTGTCTGTCCATGATATTTATTTTATTACATATACATCATTCTATTGCATCTTCCTCAGAAATTTATTTGTCAATAGTTCTAAAAATTTCAGGAAAGGAACATGATAATGAGTACAGCAAAATCTGATATATAGTTGACATACTCAAGTGCTTTGTTGTGATCAAACAAAAGGTTTAAATATTAAACAAGAAGACGAAGCATTTGTATATCAACTATACTTTGATTTGTGCTGAACTTGCTATGATATATCTTTGCTGATACCTTTAGAATTTTTGGCACGAAAAGTTATTGGAAAAAAGTGCAGTCGAATGGTGTAAGTATGATAAGTAGTACAGATAAACGGATAGGAAAAGGCTTTTACAGCAAAAAAAAACGTAAATATGACTTTTAGTCACATCTTAAAATGTGAATCTAAGCAGTGAATATAATCATGATTGTCATCAGTGTAGAGAGATGTCAACGAAATTAGATAGTTCGAAGATAATTCTGAAAAAGATATTCAGGCATGTCCTCTTGTTAGTTTAATTAAAGTATAATCTAATTAGAAGAAAAATTTATTTTTCTTTGACATTGTTTATATGATAATAATAGATAAGACTTATGAAACTTTTGAATAGTTCAAATTTTCAAAAAATATTCAAGTATAAAACTATAGTTTTAATATATTTTTCAGTTTGAATAGATTAATAAGAAGCAAAAATGCAGAGCTTCAAGTAATGCAAATCGTAAACAAAGGGATTTAAGGTACATTAGTACTGTGATCGAATTATTCGTCACAAGTGTCAGTGTGAGCGAGGATCTTTTGTTACTTTTAATTTTGTTTTATAACACTTTTTGAACATATATGCTATGCAATGAATTGTAGTACACAGGTGACAATACTAGAGTTTTGTAGGATTAACGATTTTTCATGTCTTGAATTTCATTGGTCACATTCTGCATTGTCACTGTTACAGCAGAAGAAAGCAACGTCTTTTTGATACTAGCAATAAAAAAAATGAATAATTTATTATTTATTACATGAAGAAACTGGTCTCAGACATGAATGTTGTTTAAATACACTTTCACCTATATTCAGATACTGATTATTGTGTGTAGTAGACTAAATAAATCCGATTATATGTCTACAATGAAGTAAGAATAAAATGATTGATGAAGAAAACAATCATAAATAGTTTTAAAGATATCTCGTAAGATGTTTTTCTATTGTTTTTTTAAATTAAAACCCAAAATAATTTTAAGAAATCAGAAATTTAAAGTTTATGACACGCTCTTCTAAATAAATATCACAAATCTAGAATTAAGGATGTAGCAATGACAATGATCTTATATTCATTTCGACTTTTTCGGTCGAGGGAGGTCTATTTAAACAAAGAAAAAGCCTGAATTTTACGAAGCATACCCAAGTTGTTCTCAAAACGATAAAATTTTACTGGAAAATTTCGATAAACCTCCTATAGATTTAGATTTCTAGACTCGAAAAACCTACACTCTACTTTTATTAAACTCAGTTATTTCCTCGAAAATGACCTCTCCAATCAAAAAAAAATCGAAATCAATTCGAGACTATCTTATTTTTATCATGCGTTCACCATTAGTCTAAACTAGAGGTGTTCATCGCGGCTGCAAGCTTGCTACTATCGCGATAGTTTCTTTAAAACATCTCTCGTATATAGGCATACATGTTTAGATTACCGCACCGTTGTCACCGTTGCACCCCATGTTCAAGATACTAGGTTTTTTTTTACCATAGCATAAAATATTTAGGAGGATTCTCATAGAAATGAAAATTGACTTGAAAAAATAAAAAAAAATATAATTTTTTTTTCTTCTAAGGACTTTGTATGATTATCAATGGCTCATTGCCTTGTCCTTAGTATTAATATTCCATCATTATGGCGTGGATCAATAGATGTGTTAATTTAACAGAATCAATGATCTACGTTTTTCGTTATGAAAACAACGACTAATATCAAATGAAATAAATTTCAATGATATTGAAACAACATTTAATACAATTTATATAAAAAGTCTTTTATTATGTTCCAATAATCAATCATATTTAATTGCATTAATAGATTCTATATCAATTTATTTTGATACAATACAAAATCCTATTGAATTAACATATCAATTTTCATCAGATGATACACGTGATTTATTACATTTTATAATATTTATATCGAAAATCATTTATATAAATATATTTCAAAAAATTCTTCTCTTAGTTGAAAAAACTATATTATCTATATTTGAATATCTTTATCAACGGCATGGTTTAATTCTATCAAATAAACAAAGAAAAATCTATTATTACAATCATATTTAAATTTAATTGAACAAGAAGATTGACCATTTACATAATTATTACTTTTATTAAATGTACTTCGATTGAATGATACAAGAAATCCAACTGCAAAGCAAAAAAGTCTTCCAAAAATTTTTATAATGTAGAAACACAGCACTACCACAGAGGTTGTTCATATTGAGCTTAGGAAAACTATCAGAAGTAGTTAATAAAGATTTATTTATCCAGTTTTTGTAGAGCTTTTCACGGCGCATGTTTTGAAAAACGAATCAAGATTTTATCAGTTTTTCAAGTCGAGATATATGCAAAACAAAATATATCGGAAAACTTTTGCAACACCCGATATATATATATATTGACATATATAAGTTAAAAACAGTATAGAAAAAGAAAAATATGAAAATGAAATATTTATGTGTTCAATTAACTGATCTACCTGATGAAATCCTTATGATTATTTATAAACAGCTGTACAATGTCGAAGCATTTTACTCTTTAATAGATGTTAATAAACGATTAAATAAAATTCAACATAATCCAATATTTCCTAGTGCGTTAACGTTGATGGATTGTTCCATAGATGGTCGCATTTGCTCATTACCTTATCCGATGTTTCATCGATTTTGTTCACAAATTTTATCTCAAATTCATTGTAACATTCAATGGCTAAATCTTGAACCATTAACTAGGAATACGATTCTTCTTTCTGTAAATGGCTCGAATTTATATGGATTTGGTTTATATGGTTTTAAAATGCAAAAAGTGAAATATCTCGTTACTGATAAGATAGTTTTATTTAATTGCTAGACATATGTCATTGATACCATTGAATAAATAATGAGAAAATCTAGTAGAAGATTAGATTTGTATGTTGCAAAATAAATTGGAAAAGTCTAAAACAATTTACGTTATAATCGAAGTTATATTAAATATAGTTCGATTTTCAATAGTTCTCAATCTATGTTTAGATGAAACTTTAATTTATAGATTCAAAAATCAAATTTCATCACTTGTCATCGATATTACTGAAAATGATGAAGCAAATTCAAGAGAAATTATTCGACTTATATTCACACATATATGTGTTATGTTCAGTGGCGTAGCCATTGGACAATTGCCCAATAATTTTCTGGGAAGATAGTTATTGCCCAATACCAAAACATCTTGAGACACATGCATTTTCAGAATCGAAATAACTTTATTTTATCAAATTGTCTCCTATAATAATCTAATCCAAGTAGTTATTTAGAACGGTCATTTGACAGTCTTTTCTGATTAAACAAATAATTACAGTAATTACAATTCAGCAGTATTTTTCATCAAACTTCTCGTCATTCTTTTTCAAATCGTCAATGTAAAACGTGAGTAAGTGATCAACGATTTTTCTGAATTTATGAAACTATATTGAACCTATATGATAGCAATGCAATAGTCTAAGTACAATACTTTGATAGTGTGACTGATGACATAGCTCTCGCAACTTAAAAATTAAAACTGCCATGAACTCAACAGATTTTGTTGTCAAAAAGAAACCCATTCAGTGTGTGAACTAATGTAGAATTTTACTCGTGGTGTTTTTTTCTTTATCGATAACGCTGAGAAAGTTCGAGTGAATCGAACCGAAATGAGTGCTAACATGAGTCATTTTTCATATCTTTGACAATATAACAGAGACATACATCTACTTCTCTACACAGCCATATTCATCTTCCAGTCGATACAGTGATAGCGTTACAGTTATTTTATAGTAATTTTTACTGTGGGTTTCCATCATTTTCGTTTCAAGCAACGTCTATAAGTGAACTTAAAAATCCATAACACTAGAAATTCTATTGATTTTTCATATTCATTAGCTACTCATCGGACACGAATATCAGTCATTAACAGAATCTGTAACCTATTTTCGTATCACATTTCTTTTATTGTCTTTGAAGTTCGTAGGAGATACGTTCTAAAAATAATAAGAGAAGTACAAGTAAATCTGTAATAGACTACAACTTCAAACAATTACACAGGTTTTTTATAATAGTATCGGTTCGTGTAAAAGTAGGTTACAAAAATATATTAAGAATCTCGTGATGAATTCTGACTGACTCAAGCAGTCTGATCCTTCCTTCTTTACTTAAACAGCCTGTACATCAACAAAAAGTACTCAAAATATGAAAAAAAGATATATTTATACTCATTTTGTGAAAAAAATATACAAAACATCCGAAAAACTCGATACCACCTGGTAAAAAATTCCCAACGGATCGGAATTACTATACTTACCGTCATTAGTTACAATTTTATCTTTTTATGCTTTTTTCGAAGTTAAATATCCAATTATGTGAAAATCGAAAGCTCCATTTATAGATAAGAACAGCAAAAGTGACAGAGCTTCTCTTAGTTGAGAGTAATAAATCTCTTTTCGTCAAACATCAACTTTTCTGAGAGAAGAAAGTTTTTGAAAGAAGTAGTGACCCAATTGATTTTGAATTACCCATTATTGCCCAGTGCTCAAAATAATTTAGCTGGTAAACGGCCCATAGTTCAAAAATTCCTGGATACGCCACTGGTTATGTTTACTAATTTACGATATTTAAATTTCGGTCCATCTTTAAGTGAATGTCAACAATTATCATTTGGTACTTCACCTCCAACTGTTTTCTCTTCAACTCTATCAGAATTACATATACTTGTGCCTCGTTTTATTGATTGTCTATATTTACTTGATGGACGATTCAATCAACTTCATACACTTTATGTTTATATTACATTCATTAATATACCGTATGAAACAATCAATAATAAAATATATTATTTTGAATAATAACTTTGATGGAGATGAGAAAATATTATTGTATTTTTTAGAAAAAAAACTACCTAATTTAAGATGCTTTTCATTGTATTGTGAGACAGATACAGAGTTATATGATGAGTTCATTGTACCACTTTTACATCGAATGTCAAATTTAGAAAAACTTCACTTGTACCTGAACGTTACTGATAGAAAAACATTTATTGATGGTAATGATTTAAAGACAACTATTATTGATCATTTGTTACGATTAAACTCATTTACATTTAATTTTAAATCATTCGATAGTTGTTATAATCAAACTAATTTCCCATCAAATGAAGATATTCAACAATCCTTCAAAGATTTTAAATATAATACAAGAAGAAAGATAATAACACCTTTCTTTTGTGTGCCTTTTTTAGCATTCTTCCATTCTTTAAATAAGACATCAAATATTTTGTAAAAACGATAATTGAGGAAGTCAAATGAATAAAAAAAAATCTGTTGCATTGATACATTCGGAATATTCAGTGGATATTTCATTTTTGTTAAAAATCCAAATTTCATAATGAGTTGCATATTACTCATAATAAAAGTATCTACTTGCAAACATGACTTTTTACCTTTTGAATATTATGGAGAAAGCCTTATATCTTGTTTGTGGCATATTTTGTGAGTCATATCTGGAAGAATGAATTATATATGAGAAGACATTTTTTTTCACTTGTGGGAATCCTAAAATGATTTATTTTTTCTTTTCTTTTCATTTCTATTTCTGTTGGAAGAAACCAAGTTACGTTACCTACAATAAATAATTTTCTCATTATTGTAGCTATCTATCCATTGATATCTCACTCTTCTCGAAACAGTTATCCGAGTAGGATACGCTTCAACTATTTTTGTTTACACCCTTTACTATCTACCGTCTGTAAAAATATGCAATCGAACATGAATATTCTTTGTCTGTTGCCAATGTTGATTATGATGAAAATATCTGTCGAAGAATCCTATGTCCACAAAAAATACATCTAATCTACAATATTTCAGTTCCATGAAAGTCAATATGCTTGCATTGACAAGTTAGACGTACATAGCTACGTTTCACATATACTATCTTCTGAATGAGGAAATATTTCGGTCTTGTATAGTTTCATTGTGTATATGCACAACTTCCAATTGTTGATTCGCTTCTTTAAATGTGACTTTAGTCATTGACAACAATAATTCAATTCATTTCACAAGTTAGGCTAAGACCATTAGTGACATTATGTTGATAGCATATCTGTTCGAATCTGAATTGAATTGAGATTTATTTTTAATATTTCATATGAAATGAGTCCAGATATATTTTTGTCATAAACTACATCTAAACGCAAAAGATGTTGCATTGGAAATGCGGTGTGAATGAAAATTGTGTTGAAGCGCATCTAAACGTAAACAATATTTTATCTAAACTACGCGACTGATCGTGTTCCGGACGCACATCAAACTTGATTCGGACGTATTTCGACCTAAAAAAATATTTATATGGATTCGAGTACTATTGAATTTCCGTAAGAGAATATTTTTAGCTAATCAACACAAAAATTATATCAAGCTATAATTAAAATCAGCTCACTCGATAGAGACAGATTACTGTTAATGTCTAGAAACCAATCATAATAAATTAAAATATTACATGATTTCATTCGTTTTTTTTTCTACTTCTAAACGTAGAAATAATTCATCTATCAAAAGATTTATTAATAAACTACAATCATTAAACACGTATAAACACAAAAAAGATTTAATCTTCTGTTAATAGTTGAATAACATTTGATACTGCATGATAGCATAAAAGATTTTCTTTATTTCGTTGTTGAGTTTTGACATCGAACAAAGCCGGTAATACATTACTACTTCGAACAGCTACTTTGCCCTTGAAAAATAAAGAATAACAAGTAAAAAGAAACAAAAAATACTAAATAAACAGATTTAAAATGTTTACTTTTTGAGCATCGACAATAAGTGCCCATAAAGCAGTTAATCCAATATAAGCTATATCTGACGTTTTTGAGACAACATGTGACATTATCGTTGGAATATATTTAACTAAAATCGAATGAAATTAATATTAATAAAATAAACAAAAAATATCAAATGTAAAAAATCTGTTTATACAATTTATATTTTCGATATTCATTTCAAAAATCATAGAAGAAAAAAAATCCTTTCGTTCATCGTATCTCAAAAATCGAAACTCTCGATTTGATTTTTTTTTTCGAAGCAATAAAACTTCATTATCTAATGTTAGTTCAACTATAGTGTGACATTTGTTTTTAAAAAAAAACAAAAAACTTACCTTCAGCTACAATTCTCGCTTTATGAGTAGAAGAAAAGGCTAAATTTCGAAGAATTAGAAGAGCTTGACGTTGTAAAATAGAAGATGATGATGATTGAGCAAGACGAATTATAATAGCAAATATTTCTAAAGATAAAATTTCAAAATTTAACAAAAAATAATCTTTATTTTTACCAGGACTTTTAAGTAAACTAGTTTGTCCATCAGTAAAAAATGATATATTAATAATAACATCAAGAAAACGTCTATCATATCGATTAATATCACGTGATACACGTTCAAAATGATCAATAAATATTTGAAAAAAATTTGATTTATACATAATACTTCGTCCTTCAATTTCAAGTGAACAATTTTGTATAACATCAAATGCCATTTCAATTGTTTGATTTTTACTAGGAGAATTATTATTAGCTACAGATAATAATGATGCTTTTGTTATAAGACGAACAACATAAGAAAGTAAATTCGATAATGGACGTTGTTGATCAGATGTTTGAACAACAAATGAATTTGCTGATGGAAGAATTGTACTACATACACTAACACAACCTTTAAATAAGCATAAATATAAAAACATGAATAGGGAACTATTCGAATTGATACTCGCAATTTCAATTCATAATTATAACAAAAATCGAGTTTACTTAAAAATTCAATATCTCGATAAAGAAACATTCTTTTTCATTGAAACTTTCAGAATATTGTACAGATCATTAGACCTATCTATAGATAAAATTTTACATCGAAATTCTTTTTTTTTTGATCGAAAATTCAGTAAAACAATCATAACTCAGCTACAAAGACTCATAGAGACAAGTCCTTTTAGACTTTTACTAGTCTCATCAAGACGTCTTTGCAAGTTCAATATGAGCTCGAATCACAAGTATGAATTTGGACAATTTCTGCATGAATTGAAAACTATAACACACGAACCTTTTCGATGTTTGGCAGTAAGTGTTGTCAGAAGAAGAAGAAGAACATTTAATAATTGAACATCGACAATAGCCCAACACCAAAGTTGATGAAGAAATGGAATTAAACCACTTGAAGAAAGAATATCCTAAATAAAAATCAAAACAAAAAAAAAACCTGATAATATCAAATCAAAAAGAAAACTATTTACTTTAGCAGATGAACAATCGAATGATAAATTATTAAGAATAGATAATACTTGAATACATTCATCAATTAATATATCATCCTAAAATAATTAGTACGATAAAAATTTCAATAATAAATCATTCATTTCGAAACAAGATTTTACTTACTTTACTCACACATTTATCAGATTGAAGTGAGAAAAGTGTTAATTTTGTTTGAATACGCTTAAGATGATCTATTTGTGATTCAATAAAACCTTCTAAAAATATAAAACACGATTAGAAAAAAAAATAATAATTTAATATTCTATTTCTATTATTCACTTTCGATTGCTTCTTGTTTAGCTATTATACTAATATTTAATAATGATTTAATCATATTTGATACAGTTAATTTCAATGTATCATTTGATTCTGTATTAAGTCGATTTTCATAAATTAATAATAATTGATTAAAAATTTTTATTCCATTTTTATTTGATGATTGATCGAAAAAAATTTTCCATATTTCTCTTTCTTGATCAACTGTACATTGTGCTATTGATAATGATAATAATTGTAATATAATAGATATAGCAACACTAATCGAACCATTAATCATTGTTTGTAATGGTAAAGTAAGAATGCCTGTAGAAAAACAAAAAAACATACATCAATGATTCATTTTTTTTTTGAAAAAAAGTTTTTAATGAAAGAAATTTACTAAAAAGTTCTGATGCAAATTGAACAATTGTATTATTTGTTAATTGATGTAATGATGAAGATTGTTGAAGTAAAATATGAATAATTAAATGAGCAAGATTAATTTTTGTTTGCCAAAAATTTTCCGATCGATTATAATTATTTTCAGGAAAATAAGCAAGAAGAGTTATTATTTGAATTAAATTTTCATTATTAAATATTTCATTTATTATATCAATATTTGATTCAAAAATAAGTCGTAAATATTGAGCAATTTTTGTATACATATAAAACATATTATCAAGAAATAAATGATATTCATGTGGTGTTACATTTTTATTTATTTCTGATTCTAATGGACGAACATCAAGAAAACTAAATATGAATAAAACAAGAAAAATACAATTTCAATTTTTTATCGGATGAACAATTGTGTATGATAAGAGCAATAGATCGTTGAACCAAGATATGTTATAAAAACAAAGTAGAAGATAAATACAAATTAATGTAAGATTTGATGCCTCTCTCTCACTGTCTTAATATTCTCCTTCATATTTTTTGCATATATAAATAACATACACTGATTTCAATATAAATCTGATCGATTTTATGAGACTTTTTTCTGCTCATGCCTAGCTTTTTTGATTAAGAAAGAATACCTCTGCCTATCCACAAATTCAATAGCTCGATATCATTCCTACAACTAATACTAGCTGTTGCTCTGGATAGAAGACCAGCCTGACACAAAGTTTTTTCACTCAATTATTTGAACTTTCTTTTACATACTAATTAACTACAAGAGAAGATATATGTCACAACATAGTCTACTTAATAGTCACTATCGGGGATGTCTCAAGGTCACCAAGACTGGAAAGGATCGATCCTTGTTTCGTAAATTGGTGGGC